CAGTCAATTTGCAAATCTGTTTACTTTAAAACCGAAACGGATAAAACTTAAGTATAAATGCAGATTCATTTCTAACGTTAGGACAGCTTTTTTTTTTTTTTCGATTTTCGATCTTTTCTCAGTCATTTCTTTGTGATGAAAATTGCCTTGATATCAGTTCCAAGTGTCTGAAACTGTCACCTCTCTATTTACAAATTATTTTTATTAGATTCGCCAATTATTGGCAGGGTCACCGGAACAGCATGACGCCAATTACTGAGGGCCCGTAACAGTCCCTCCCCCCATGAGAGATAGGCCACCACACCGGGGACTACGTCCCCTACTCTTTACGAACAGTCTGTGGGTTCTTTAACGTCCCACAGAATTTATATATGCAGGGGTTGTGAGACGGGGCCTACGGTTTATCGTCCTTATCTGAGAAGATTAGTAAGTCTAACCGTTTGCAGATGTCTTTACAAAGGCAGCACGTTCTCATCCTCAGTTATTTAAAGACCCTGAGTGTTGGTCCGGCCGGGACTTGAACCAGCGGCCTCCCGCTAGGCAACCGGCGCTTACTCAACTGAGCTAACCGGGCAGCGGTTACTCACTGCACATGTCAATTTGAAATTTCTGGCGATGCATATTATACTGTTTTTGCCCTTCAGATTTACAGTATTCGTTCATATTTAAAACATCTATAGGAAAATACAGGTCGTGTAAAGTCATATGTATTATGTTTCGAGATAAATCGATTATTGGCTTTTTCAAGTTCCCATTTCGTGGTGGCTTTAGTTTACATCTACATAAAATGGTATGTATGGCAAGAAACTTTACTCGAGCTGTGAACTTTCAACGGGCTTATCAAAACTCGCTAATGCTGACATCAATCATTGTGCTTGCGGAATGGGCGAACACACAGAATTGAGGAGAAGTACGTTAACAAAATTAATGATATCAACATCATGCACAAAGTTAATGATAAAAGCTTAGCAAGATAGAGATACGAACAAAAAAGGAAAACCTCTGGGCTACATTGATAAGCTCTACATAGTCCCCAAACCTTGTCAGTAATAGCTGCTATTTCCGTCAAGTTGGTTGTTGTGAAGCTCCTACCTGTGAGGGTGGAGCTTTGAACTTGTATGCGAAATTCTCAAAGTTCATATTTTTGTCAATGTCTTCTTTATCCTTATCCGAAATTTTGACCTCCAAAGTGGAGGTACAAAAAAAATACTCATGCAAGGAAAAACCGTATGAAACAAGGGGCGCGATCCATTCAACCAAATTTTCTGGAAATTTCGGTCCAAAACTCAATGGATCGGTTCGGTCCAACCGGAAATAAAAGTTTTGAAAAAACTGGTCCATGATCCACCTTTTGAGGTGGACCACTTTTCCCGGTCAGACCAGTCGGAATTTTGGTTCAATGGATCATGCCCAGGGGCTGAGAACATCATTTCTCGGTCCCAGATCTCTTGTCTTCCCTTCCCTGGGTGATCGTTTTTCTGATCAGAAGACCGAAAACGAAATTATAACTGGGCCGCTTGCCCGTGGGCAGCCCAGTAATTAACATGAGTTTTAAAGAAGTTGAACATTGACAAAATAAATGAAAAGTAATAATTGATAGACAGTAAATAAACAAAACAAAAAAGCTCGGATTTAGTATAAGAGCGCATAACATTGTTGTAAGCAAAGGTAAAACATTTTTATTTTATTGGCTAATTGTCGTTGTGCGCATCGGTGGTTCTTTATTATGACGCTTTTGTTATTATTATTATTATTATTATTATTATTATTATTATTATTATTATTATTATTATAAACGTTTTCAGTGCTATTAATTGCTTCCTACACTCTCCTAGAACCGGGGCCAATCCTTGGTCCTGAGGTAAAAGAGCAGTTTTTTATTTGATGGACAGAAACCTTCTCAGTGTGCGCCGTTCCTAGGAGGATGATCTTTTGCAGCTCATTATTGTTACTGGCTCCAGGGAAATTCTGGTCCATTGCCCCTCTAATAAGATCCAGCACACCAACAATAACTGGCACAGTCTCTGTCCTCATTCCCCACATTCTCGTGGTTTCAATCTCAAGATCTTTGTATTTTGAAAGCTTTTCAATGACTTGCATCAAGGTGTTTTGGTCGGTTGGTACCGATACATCCATAAGTTTGCAACACCGGTTGGCATGGTCCTTGATCACTATATTAGGCTCGTTTGCTGACAGTCCTCTATCCATATGTTTATAATTAATTAATTATTAATTATGAACTAGTAATTAGATATTAATTTAATTATTAAGTAATTCATTATTATCATTATCATTATCATGATTATTATATTATTATTAATTTTTTTATTCTCAAGGAAGGATGCTTAGACGCAGAAGAAGCTCTGCTCGAGAAGATGACTGTAATACAGAAACAAAGCGAGCACGCTTGTCGAAAGCCCCGATGTACTCGCAGCAAAGAGAAGTATTTACCAGAGGAGATCACGTGGTCGACAGGCAAAAACAATGGGCATCCGTTGGTGCTTGGTTTTTGGGCCCCAAAGCAGAAAATGGAGACGTATTTCGGGACCTGTTGACAAAGGCCATCGATTCTCATATTGGATTCCGTCACAGGTACATTACAATTACAAGTAGTATTTGATGGGAAGCACAAAGGTGTGCGGTGATGATTTTTCCTAGTGGATCGAACTTGTGCAGAAGTTACATACACAAGGTACTCAATTTTCTTTTTTGTGGAGACTGTTTTTTGTTTCTGGCCCTGAAAATTGCAGCCATACAATACTCATACAAAGTTAGTTTGTTAGCCTGCCTTGCTGGTGTTGGTAGGGTGAAGGGATAAATTTTGAGGAATAGCTATTTTTTGGTAGTCTTTGTGCCTCTTTTGTAAGCTGAAATAAACTCTTGCACAGTTTTTTTTTTTCAACTTCTGTCATGGGCCATGCAGTACGGCTACCGTAAACTTCTGCGCTGGTCTTAAAAATCTTTGTAAGTGGTTTTGGCGGTCTTTTAGTGGCTTTAAACCGGAATGGAAAAAATCCCTTCGAAACAAGCTATGAGAGTGCTAATCAAAATCCAGACATGTTAATTCAGATATGTTTTGCTTTTACTGGTTTAAAATTAAGCTTCAAAACATCATAATAAAATCAAATCATTTCAATGCATTTAAGTGGGGGGGTATATATTGTTTTGTTTACAGGTAGATGAGCCTATACAGATAAATAATGACAATAATAATTATGATTATGATGATGATTATTATTATTGATTATTATCATTCATTCGAACTATTTCTGCGTTCGTGATTGTCTCAAATTCCCAGGCTAATGATTTTTTATAACTAGCCTCCATTGATCAAATTTGAAAGGCATTTGAGAGATCCGATAAAATGACCTCAATACTACAAGGCATTAACGTTTTTTCACACTTTTTGGGAAGAAGAAATCAGCTGAAGTACTGCCTAAAAACATCGCAAGAACAGCAAAAATGTCACTTTCGAATGACATCTGCTTTTTCGAGAATATCTGCTTGTTTAAACATCCAGTCCCTTAGTTTATTACCTGAATTCGGTGAGAAACTGGAAAATAAAGATGGAAACTTAACATCAATCGACGTAAAAAATTTTTACCATGTTTTTAAACTAAGAAGTGTTTTGAATGAATAACAAAACAATTATTGTATCTGGCTTGTGCATGATCTGAAGAATTATGCAGATCAAGAAGTTTTTTGTCAAGGCCACGGCCTTTTCGACCTTGTGGATAAAACCTCTTTGTTGTGCATAATTCAATCCTCAGATCTTGCGGAAGGCGAATCTAATAATTTCTACATATTTTTTAAAATAACTATTTCAATCCTATTCATCCTCATCCAATAATTGTCCATTATATTTAACAGTTACTTTCCTTGTGATCCCCCTTATGTCACCGATGAGCTGCGGGAAGCAGGATCCTTCAGCTATGCCATGAAGAACCTACAATCTGAAATGGAAAAATTGCAACTGGAATTAAAAAAAACTCTGTTCCATTCTTTAAATCAAGATACAAGGTACATGTAAAGAATCAAGGTGTACTATTACTTTGATTCATCCATCCATTAATCATTCATTCCCTTTTTTTCTTCATCAAATCTTAGTAATTCTAATAATAATAATAATAATAATCCTTTTTTTATTTAAATTCTATAACCTGTAAAGTTACAAGAACAAATCAATCGAATCAATCAATCAAATCAAATTAATGCTAATATTAATAATAATAACAACAAAAATACTACTACTACTGCTACTGCTGCTACTGCTACTAATAATAATAACCTGTGCGATACAGGTTATGTCGGCTACACCAGCGAACTGAAGAGCACAAGGGAACTACAGTCGGAAACCACCTGAGACACCTTAGGGATCAGCACAATGTGTCCCCAAATGACTTTGGGCGAAAAAAGGAAAAAAACTAAAATTCCATAGCAAACTTGATTGCCTTATTTTTGAGATGGTTTTTATCAAAGAACTGTATCCAATACTAAACAAACAGCGCGATTCCATCCACGTAAAATTATTTCGGTTTAGATCGGCTTTAATTACCGGTAGCCTTATTATTACTTCATTGTTTTATTTTTTATTATTAAGTTTTTTTCTCAATTTTGCAAATATTTTATTACTTATCACTCGCATTTTATTGTTCATGGCATTCTTACCTTTTAAACTATTTGTAACCGTTGGCAATATATTTATGCTAATTTTTGTATTTTTACTTGTTCCTGAAAATGACCTCGGAAAAGTCGAAACGTCGTGATGACTTTTTTTCGTTAATTGTTATCACAAAATAATAATAGTAATGATGATAATAATAATATAACCTGTGGAGAAGCCTTTTTAGATCAAAGGCACCGAATACCCCCCCCCCTTCACCCCAAAGGAAGAAATAAACCGATATCACTACTACTTAAAAAAAAGAAAAAAACAAATAAAAAGAAAAGGGAAAAAATACTTCTTTTTGCCTCAGGGTCACGTTCTTTGGGAGACAGCAATGCCAGCAAACCTTGGCTATATGTCTGCAATGTTGTACAACCAAAACAACTGCGCGTCGGAGGTCTCCACTGTCACCAGTAAATACGAAATGGAAGTGGGCAAAGACCTGTGTGTCATGCTGGGGTATGACAGGGACAGATGTATGGGACATCTCACCGCTGGGGGGTCTGTAGCCAACATTGAAGCAATTTGGGCGGGAAGAAATTTGAAGTACTTTCCATTGGGACTGCAAGAGGCTTTGTTAAAAGACGAAAGACTTTCTGGTGCCAAAGGATATAAGGTAAATTTCTTTGCTTCATTTCTGCTCTACTTTATCAGATTTACTGCAGCACGTTGTACTGGATGGTAGGGATAATATGAAAGGCTGGCTTTGGTGGATTGAAAATTGCACTTTTAAATATGAAATTGAAACATAATTACATTAGGCGAATTGTACTTTGCGGACCGCTTTTCGGCTACTGTTCTGTTATAAAACTTAGAATTTTCCCTAAAACAGCACGCTCTAGCGGATAACGTGGAGGTCACGTGACATCTGACGATAACACTGCTTCTCGCCAAGAGTGTCTTTGCGGTTGCTTCACTTCCCGAGTATGTTGACCGCTAGCGTGAATTTATTCGCATAAAAGTTTACCTTTTTTGAGCTATATTGCATATTATCATTTTTTTTCTTTAGAATTTTGTTCCCCTCGATCAAATCTCAATATGTTTTCGCAGACCGAGATTCTGAGCCATTCTTGGGAAACAAAATTTACTTGTTCCATTTCTAAATTGTATCCGATTAGGTTTTATTCCCTCAGAGAGGAAAGGAAGAACAATTAATCAGTGCTTCCCAGTGGGAACTCCTTAACCTTGATGTCGACACTATCTTAAAAATGCCCTCTGATGTTCAGGCTTTGACCGGCCTCGCACATCATGAATTCATGGAAATAATGTCCAAGTACCTTTACGAGTCCATTGGAACGCAGGAGTTTGTAAGGCGACATATGCTAACACAAAGTCCATGCATTGTTGTTCCAAGCACATTACATATTTCGTTAGCGAAAGCAGCCACCATCCTTGGACTTGGTCGAGAGAGCCTTGTTTGTGTAGCAGTTGAAGAAAACTCGCGGATGGATCCTACTGGTAATGTTTTATTGTGTTATCTTCGGGTAGCCACAAATAACTCTCTTTTTATCCACACAGTTTTTTCTATCTACATTGTATTGATGTACTTCAATCGTTGCAGCACCCTCGTACCAAGCGTCTTCATTCCCCTTGATCAGCGGTCTGGAAAAGCGCTAGTTTTGTCAAGTTCGCATGCGCAGAACGGGACGAAGACTCGAGGTACGAGATTTCCCTTGCAGTGGAAGACAGTAGCCTTTGTTTTGGCTTACAAAAATAATAATAGTACAACATTAAATGTAACTGTTATCTATGTGGTGTAAGAGTTATTACTCTCCAACGACTTTATATCAATAAATTGGCAGGTGTTAAAGTACAATAAATCAGAACTGACCAGTGTTGTGTCTTCCACTTGCAGTGCTTTAATCTGTGTTTGGTTTTATTCTAATGTCACTTACTGTCGAATTAATCAGGCACAAAGAACAGCAACTACAACTGCATGCGTACAAAATGTATGTCGGTATGTTTTGCTTTCACGTGTGTGAACAGAATTAAGCTTAATTTCAGTCTGATATTATTTTTGTTGTTTATATATTGAGACTAGAAAAGGTGTTTTAAACTGAAGGTTAATTTTTGTATCAACGTTTAGAATTGAACCGGACTCTAAAAGAAAAATTGGATAAGGAAATTCCAGTCATTAACGTGGTAGCTGTTACAGGAACTACAGAACAAAGTGCTGTGGATCCAGTGACTGCAATTGTCGATTTGCGTGAAAAGTTTAGAACTAAGGTAGTTATTAGGCCAATAAAAACCAATTCACCATCACTATCACCATTACCATCACCATCACCATCACCATCATCATCATCATCATCATCGCTGCTTTCTTTATTGTAAACACTATCGATGAATAATTGTCGGCGAAGTCACACTTTTATCGCTTTTTCGTTTTTCTATACATAGACCCAACACACCTTGTTTCCCTTACTTAAACTAGCAATGCGATTTATAATCTACTAAACGCTCCACTTGTATGTTTTTGACAACTAGGGTCTTAACTTCAGCATTCACGCGGATGCGGCCTGGGGAGGATATTTCTGTAGTATGCTGCGAACGCAGCCGGAGAGCAGTCCTATGCCGACAGCCAAAGAAACAGGATTTGTTCCGGAAATGTACCTGAGTTCCTACGTCCACGAACAGTTATCAGCTCTCCACCATTGTGATACAATCACTGTTGATCCCCACAAATCTGGCTTCTGTCCTTATCCAGGCGGTGCAATCTGTTACAGAGACAGAAGGATTAACTCATTTCTGTCAATCACCACTAAAGTTCTCTACTACCATGGAAAAATGATTCTCGGTGACGTCGGTATCGAGGGATCCTAACCTGGGGCAGCTGCTGTAGGGGTCATGATGGCAAACAGGGTAATCATTCATGACTGTTTTTCCGTACAAACATCACGATTGATTTATCTCAATACATCACGCTGTTTGGTGGAATATTCCAAGCAAATCTCTCTTTTTTTCCCTGAGTTTGGGCTCTTTTTAATGTTGTAGATCTAATTGCTGTCATAACGAAAGAGAAGAGATCCTATCCTGGAAATGAATCTCTCCTGAAAACAGCTGGGGAGAGTTGTCCCAGAATTTTTTTTTCGAAGATTACCTTATTATAGGAAATTAACGCTGCATGAAATTAAGGTATTGGAAGTTAACGCGACTTAAATTAACGCGAATTTAATGGAAAATGACATTCGAATAAAGAAAATTCACGCGAAAGAGGAGGTAGAATTTCATAAAAAAAGAAATTAACGCGATTATCTTGGCCGAAATCAAAGGAGAAGATATTGACATCACTTCTGACAGCGACAACGATGAAGATGAACTCGAAATATTGTAAACCTTCGCCTTAGCTTTTGTGAAAGATGAAAAATAAAAGGTAAATGGAAAGAAAGAAAGCCTGTAGTTAATGTTTTTTAGGTGTCAAGAATGTCTGGACAGGTTCCAAAATTGGGGTTAAAATACTGGTAATTAAGAGCGCGGAAATTAACGCTGCACTTAATTAACGCCGCGGAAATTAACGCTCAACAAAATTAACGTGAATTTTAACAATTCGCGTTAATTTCACGGAGCGTTAATTTCCTATAATAAGGTAGATCAGTTTTAGCCTGCGTCGCAGACGTCATTTAACCTCGGTTAGTAACGTCTGCGAAGCAGCACCCGGTGATCATTGTTCTGGTTCCCCAACGGACTCAACGAATTACTGGAAGTGCGCTTCGAATTTCCTTTTATCGACAGTTGGCAAAATCGATAATGGCTTTATATACACGGTAATTATGGTGCGTACTTAATTCCTGGTACACAGGTGGGGGCGCAGAACAAGGATTTCGCCGCTCTTTTGCTGTCGAAGGGCTTAATTAGAGTTTTGTTTCGTCTGTGGCACAGGCTGGATCACCTAGTCAGATCGGTTCTGGTAAACAAGTAGTCCAGGTTTGGTCAGTGGAGAGATGGGGTGGAAGATTGGGAAGCCTTTTCTATTAATAATGCAAATGGGGAAATTTGGAAGCGGGATCAGGGTAATTGACACGCACGGGAAAGGTTAAGACATTCTTTCAACTCTCCAAGGCCTCAGGGAACGTATATTCATACAGAGCAAAAACATCAAACAAACTGAAAATCCATCGTAAGTCCATTTCTACAAGAGTACTTGCTGTTTGGCGCCCTCAAGTCCTTATAGTTGCAGATATAGACTGAAAAAGAAACTAACAAGCAAAAGGAAACAAAAACAAAGGCTTTTAATAATAGTTCTCCTTATAATTTCGTGTTCTTGACTTCGCAGGTGATCGGTCTTCATAAGAACGGTTACGGTCGTATCCTAGCTGAGTGCATGTTTACCTCAAAGATCCTATACTGTCAGTGGGCAACACTGGCCAAAGAAAACGACATTTTTGTTATCAAAACAACGAAGCCTTTACCCAATTTAAATAACTGGTCAGACGAAGAGCATATCATATTTATAAGGGAACGAATCCTTGGCAAAAGCAACGAAGAACTTGCAAGGGTAAATATTTCAGCTTGTTAGACTGAAAGCTAATTTTCATTGAGTCCGCCGCAATGCACCCAAGTACTAGCGATTCTTTTGCATTTTACTGGGATCCGATTTTCTGCCGAGAAAATCTACGAAAAAATGTCTAAAACTGTTGATGGAGTCCTTCTACTAATTCCATGTCAAAATGCCTCGTAAATTGCTTATTCTTTATTTTTACATGTAAAAAAAAATGCGTGACTATGGGAAAAAAAGGTCATAAATATTAACGCTGTTTCAAATTTAACTGTCTTTAATTGTAATTCAAGTTACTAGACTAAGAGTTAGGTGACTTTTAGCCGCCAATCGAATTTAAGAATTTTATGACCGAACGATGTGTGGCTAAGAATAATATGATTGGTTGATAATCAAAAAATATGATCGATATTTTTGTTTTATCAAAGCTGATGTCTCGAGCGTTGCAGCCTTTTTTTAGAGGCAAGCACTCTAAAAGTCTCTTTTTAAATTTCTTTTTCGGTGGCAATAATTCATAAAACTATATTTTTGTGATTCAATTCACTAACCACACAGCAACGTATACGTGGTAAGCATTTAGCTTCTCCTGTCTTTTAGGATGATGAGGCTATGCTTTACCTAAAAGAAGTGGGTCCTGACACCTTGATACCGTGTTTCTCTGTAAACCTGAAAGGAAACCAAAGTGTGGAAGTGTGCAATGCAATCAACACAGCGATATTCGAAAGCCTCAGTCATACGTCAGGGGAACATACTGCGTTTCGTATTCCAATGCTTGTTACCTCGTCAAGTCTGGTATCCCACGTCCACAGTGTTGCAGCTACAAATTTCAAGAGAAGATTGGGGGTAAGATTTCTTTAAATAAACGACCAGTTAAAATGTGTTAAACGTTAAACCGTAGGTTATCGATTGGAAGTATTCATGTATAAGAATACAGTTGTTGCGATGTAACTAAAATTTATTAGATTTATCTATATCGCTGACTTGAAGTTTCAGTTACTTAGCAAACAATTTTTCCCTTTTAAGTAACTTTTCAACTGATTTATATATATCCCAATCAGATAGGCTTATATATTACCGTCAATTAAGCAATCTCATTGTCTTTTTCTTTTTCAAAAAGGTGCCCTGGGCAAACTCTACGCAATCATCCTAGAACTGGAATAATTTGCCTTTCCCTTTTCTCATTTTCGTTTCTGTATAAAGCAACAGGAGATAGGTTCCCGAAAACAAGGAATTGTAAATAGTCTAGTTTTCCTTCTTTCCTCTGTTTCTTCCTTCTTTTTTCTTTTTTTTTTCTTTTTTTGTATCCTTTGTAATATAACCCGCTAATATTAACCCTTCTGTAGTCATGCTAATCTATGTGAGTTAAATAAAAGAAGGTCACGTGATATGTCATGAGATTCTCGATTGTAAGCAATGAATGAATTAGTGTTTAATTTAGTAATGAAAAGTGAACAGTTGATGCTAGTCTAAGCATTTCCAAATTCCACTTCGACCAGGAATAGCGTAGACGAAGAACCACTTTGTGGATGTGCTACCTCCAAATCATTATTATTATTATTATTATTATTACTAGAAGTTCTCATTGAGAAGGGAAGTGCTGCCGTGAGTTGCGATGCGAATAGGACAAAGACAGTATGTAGAACAGTTAAACATATGAATTTTTTTTCTTAAAGTCAATAACATAGAATTATGATGCACTGAGTAAAATACAAAAAATGAACCGACCACAATGACAAAGATGCTTACATTCAGATACTGACTCGCCAGAGTTTCAACATGATTTTGTAATTCATTTTAACAACAGCAGTGCTGATAGACTGTTTCCTCATCGAACAATCATCGTGTACATGACGAGAAGAGTTGCGAACAAATAACGTAAAGACTAAAGGCCAAAACTTGTTTATTCACAGGTCAGGTAGACGTACAGTACACGCCGATCACAACTTACAATCCTGGTTTCCGAGATAACAATCTGTGTGACAAAAAATACTCGCTATAACTAATCTTGAAACCTAGCATTAAAAAAAAAAACGAAAAAATGTCCCGTACAATAGTTCTTGAACTGTTCTTACCGTTTAGGCTGTTTAAAAAGACAGCAAACATCCGATGTACTACAACTTCTGCACAGATCTTAAACTCACATGAGAACAAAACAAAATGGCGGGTTGCTCAGAAGAGAAAAATAGGCGCGGCAGCTAAGCACTTGCTCATTGGTCACCTTGCTGATTGAACCATGGAACCATTGAACCATCGAACCATCGTACCATCGAACCAAAAAATCTCAAATCGCTCAAGAATATGGGTGCTGCCGGCTGATGCCCGGCAGCAATTATTATTATTATTATTATTATGTCGCAGTATGAAACTTTGGAATGCTGTCCACATTATGAGTAGTATAGGGCGCAAAGCGTAACCTACACCACTTGAGAAGCTATACTTAGAAGTAAAAAAAGGTCGATACGAAACCTAATACAATCCTAAAATACATAGTGATATTGAATCTCTCTCCGTGGCAGCAAACGACAGGAAATAGTTTCAATGCCTAAAGAGAATGAGTATAATAGGGAAAAATAAAAAATAATAGGGAATAGCGTGTCATAGATCCCTTTAAGCCATTCTACCATTCATCACAACAATTCGGAAAGGTTTCGTCATTTTCAGAGGCTACCATTTTTAACATCGCCTTTAATTCCTGATCAGTTGAATATCGCTTTATTCACGAGAATAGTAAGCATGTAGAGGTGATTATACACAAGCAAAGCTGCCTAACTTGTCTAATATGTACATATAAATTATGTATAATATGCATGGTGATTTAAAACAGTTCAGCAGTTTATAAAACTGCAGTATAGTCCTCATAAACTGGAGAATGAAAAAATATTTTGAGATGCACGCGTCTTCTATTAGCTTTAAGATATAGTGACAAGTTAAGTAGGCAGCTTGACTGCTGCAACTATGTGATTTCTATGTTCAACTTTGATTTCTATTTTAGGTTACTGATTCTACTGCACTCCACAACTTTGTTAGCAAAGGAGTTGTCAATGAACAGAACGAAGTGATCGCCTGTTATGTAGGAGATTTTAACGGAGTTTCGAAGCAGTACGAAGCAATTGTCAAGTTCAAATTCGTTTGTAACAAAGACGCCGAGAAGTACATCGCCACCCAAAAGAAGCTGTCAAAGTGGAATGATGTTCTTCAACCGATTGTCTTCCGAAGCAGACAGCAAAGACTTCATGATGTCTTCTTCAAGGATACAGGGTACTCTGGTGAATTGGAAGAGTTTGACTGTTTCATTGGCTTGCCTTCTGACAACAGCAACCATCCATTT